CATTTTGCCCGGACTGATGCTTTCAAGAAGACAAAACAATGAAGAAAATTTGCAATAATTTTTTTTTTTTTTTTTTTTTGCCAAGACATACACTTTAAATGGTTTACTACCTTTCTTTCAAAGCAGAGTTCCCCTTTAAGCAGCGGTAGTATTTGTGTGTTTACCTGGCTCGGGAGACACTCGCGGGGTTACTTAAGTGTAGACATGAGCTAAGCCCGGGAAGGCAAGCTGTTTAGCATGGGCAAAGGACCAAGTGATGTAATGTGCTATTTATAGCTCTGAAGTCCCTCCGTATTATAACATCACTGCGATTTTTCCACCCCCCCTTCTGCTTCCGATGAGTAAGCCGAGGTATTTTCTCAGTTGAAACCACTGAAGAATTTGGTGAGGGCATTGGCATGCCTTTGATGGATGCAGCTTAGTCAGAGGCTCAGCATTTCATGAATTATTCTGCAAGGAGCTGATGTCACAGGCCTGGCACCTCGCCACCATCCCCGAGCCGCGTCTGCACATCCCAGGCCGGCCTTACAAGTATTCCTCCGACGCGCCAGAATAGGCTGAGCGCCGCCTCCTGATACAGCTCTGCACCGACCCTTATAAGCTGATCGACTAAATGGGGTTTATTTCCTGCGATCGTCTGATATTCTAAAAGGAAAACCAATGCAATGACCTCACCTCTCTGGATAGATTACTTTACAGGAGTGACATCACCACTCTCTGGATATAAGGTATAACATAACTGGAGGGATGGTGATGTCACTCCCGTATAATATATCTTATATCTGGAGAGCGGTGATGTCACTCCTGTATAATATATCTTATATCTGGAGAGCGGTGATGTCACTCCTGTATAATATATCTTATATCTGGAGAGCGGTGATGTCACTCCTGTATAATATATCTTATATCTGGAGAGCGGTGATGTCAGTCTTATATCTGGAGAGCGGTGATGTCACTCCCGTATAATATATCTTATATCTGGAGAGCGGTGATGTCACTCCTGTATAATATATCTTATATCTGGAGAACTGTGATGTCACTCCCGTATAATATATCTTATATCTGGAGAGCGGTGATGTCACTCCCGTATAATATATCTTATATCTGGAGAGCGGTGATGTCACTCACATCCCGTATAATATATCTTATATCTGGAGAGCGGTGATGTCACTCCCGTATAATATATCTTGTATCTGGAGAGCGGTGATGTCACTCTGTATAATATATCTATATATCTGGAGAGCGGTGATGTCACTCCCGTATAATATAACTTATATCTGGAGAGCGGTGATGTCACTCCCGTATAATATATATATATCTGAGAGAGCGGTGATGTCACTCCTGTATAATATATCTTATATCTGGAGAGCGGTGATGTCACTCCTGTATAATATATCTTATATCTGGAGAGCGGTGATGTCACTCATGTATAATATATCTTATATCTGGAGAGCGGTGATGTCACTCCCGTATAATATATCTTATATCTGGAGAGAGCGGTGATGTCACTCTGTATATATCTTATATCTGGAGAGCGGTGATGTCACTCCCGTATAATATATCTTATAGCTGGAGAGCGGTGATGTCACTCCCGTATAATATATCTTATATCTGGAGGGCGGTGATGTCACTCCCGTATAATATATCTTATATCTGGAGGGCGGTGATGTCACTCCCGTATAATATATCTTATAACTGGAGAGCGGTGATGTCACTCCCGTATAATATATCTTATAGCTGGAGAGCGGTGATGTCACTCCCGTATAATATATCTCATATCTGGAGAGCGGTGATGTCACTCCCGTATAATATATCTTATAGCTGGAGAGCGGTGATGTCACTCCCGTATAATTATCTCATATCTGGAGAGCGGTGATGTCACTCCCGTATAATATCTTATAGCTGGAGAGCGGTGATGTCACTCCTGTATAATATATATAACTTCTATGTGGGAATTCAGTAAAGAGAGACTGTTTATTTAGCTTTTCAGCAGTCAACAGAAATCTGAACTGGGTGCTGGGTGGAGTGACCCTTTAAGCGGCAGGCTATAGTCCCAGTCCGCGGTGTGCTATCATCCTGCGGCTCTCATAGCTCGGTCACACTGGCACACATACTTGTATTGTTTTCCGCCCGGTCGGTGGACTGGAAGCAGCGTGGAGGAATTCTGTGGTTGGTGTTGGGCTCCAGCCAAGCTCTGCGCGGAGTATGTCATTGGCCGGCTGCTTGGAGGGTGATGTCATTACTACACTACCGCTGCTTATATCATGCCTGGAATCCATCCTACTGCTTTCCCGGCCGCGCTGTTGCTCGGGTTCCCCATACTTGGATGTGATTGGCCCTTCGTATTTGGCATTTTACTTCCATTGGTCCAACCATCAAAGTATCAGCACTTAGAGCTGTCACCCCATAGCCTTTAGTAGAATCTACTGAAACAAATGGCAGTTGGAATCTGCAATATATGTATATGTGGGTGATGGATTCTTCTGACACTTCTGTGCTCCACCCTTAAGGCTCTGTTCACACTTATGTGACTCCATAGTTGCACTACTTCCAGTGCGACTTTGGAGTGTGACTTTTAAAGCGACTGATGCAACTTTACACTCTCTGGTACTCAAGTCGCATCAAAGTAGTGCAGGAACCTTCTCAAAGTCGCTGAGATACCATTGAAAACAGTGGGCTTTGACTTTTCTGCAACTCTGTTTCCAAAGTCACATGACAAGCCACATACGTGTGAATGGAGCCTAACTGACACTGTTAGGAGTACGCAGTTTAGAATGACGAAGCATGTTAGGCTTTGTTCACACTTGTGCAGCTTGCCATGCGACTTTGGACACCAAGTCGCATGACAAGTCACAGCCCATTGTTTTCAATGGTATCTCAGCAACTTTGAAAAGGCTCCTGCACTACTTTTTGATGCACCTTGAGTGACCGTGTAAAGTCGCAACAAAGTTGCACTGGAAATCGTGCAACTTTGGAGTGTGAACAGAGCGTTAGTGTGGGTGCATGTGTGCCTGCTTTTCTCATTGGAGATCTTTAGCACCTTCTGTCCTGACCTTTATATCTCTAAAGAGGTCTCCAGAAGGAGGTTCTGATTCCCCTGTATGAGGTGGTATCAAAAAGTCTTGAGACTAGTTTTGTGACATGCCAACAGATGGCAGCACAAGGCTGCACACACAGTCACAGGGAGCACCGACCTTCATAAATCAGTGTGCCTAAAGACATGGACTTGCGTATGTCAGGAGCTGTGCAACTGGTGGTGTTCTGACCACGTGCATTACCACATCTGGTATTTCATTATGGTCAGCAAGTTGGAACAAAGATCAAATGTAAAATTCTGTGTGGAACTGGGCAAATCTACCCCAGAGAGGTTTGACATGATTTGGCAAGTTAACAGCGATTCTGCAATGCATCACTCAAGGTGTCTTTAGTGACATGCGTGCTTCAGGAGTGGAAGAACATTACTGGAGGACGAGATCCAAAAGACCTTCAGCGAGTTCAACCCCTGAAAATGCCTTCTTCCTGAAGTTCCAGCTCAAAGGTAGCCGTTTTTTTTTTTTTTACAACATTGCAGGGATCCAGTGATTTGCCCAGTATTTCACATTTGCTATTGATTCTAACTTGCTGTCCATGATGAAATGTCAGACATGGTAATGCACATGGTGAGAATAGCACCAGTTGCACAGCTCCCAATGTACACAAGTCGATGTCTTTTGGCACACTGACTTATAAAGGTCGGTGCTCCTTGTGACTGTGCATGTGGCCTTGTGCTGCCATCTCTTGGCATGTTCTAAAACTAGTCTTGAAACTTTTTGATACCACCTTGTATAGATCTTTATATCACTAGAGGGGTCACCAGGAGGAGGAAGGAGGTCCTGATTCCTCTATATAGATCTTTATATCACTACAGGGGTCACCGGCTGGAGGAAGGAGGTCCTGATTCCTCTATATAGATCTTTATATCACTAGAGGGGTCACCAGCAGGAGGAAGGAGGTCCTGATTCCTCTATATAGATCTTTATATCACTACAGGGGTCACCAGCAGGAGGAAGGAGGTCCTGATTCCTCTATATAGATCTTTATATCACTAGAGGGGTCACCAGCAGGAGGAAGGAGGTCCTGATTCCTCTATATAGATCTTTAGATCACTAGAGGGGTCACCAGCAGGAGGAAGGAGGTCCTGATTCCTCTATATAGATCTTTATATCACTAGAGGGGTCACCAGCAGGAGGAAGGAGGTCCTGATTCCTCTATATAGATCTTTATATCACTAGAGGGGTCACCAGCAGGAGGAAGGAGGTCCTGATTCCTCTATATAGATCTTTATATCACTAGAGGGGTCACCAGAGGGAGGAAGGAGGTCCTGATTCCTCTATATAGGTCTTCATATCACTAGAGGGGTCACCAGCAGGAGGAAGGAGGTCCTGATTCCTCTATATAGATCTTTATATCACTAGAGGGGTCACCAGCAGGAGGAAGGAGGTCCTGATTCCTCTATATAGATCTTTATATCACTAGAGGGGTCACCAGCAGGAGGAAGGAGGTCCCAATTCCTTTATAGATACCTTTTTTAGTTATCACTATAGGGCAACCTTGCTCAATCGGGGTTCCTCCAGAGGTTTCAAGGAGTTCCTTTTAGGACATTTTGGGCAATTTCTGCCTCTTCGATAAGTAACCTCTGACCCCAATTAACAAACTTTTTTTTTTTTTTTTAAGCTAAGGATTATTCTTTTCAGTGACCATTTACACTTTTGTACCACGATCTGTAGATAGTCCTCATTAGCAGGGGTTTTTTTTTTTTCAGCAGTGGGAGGAAGGAGGTCCAGTGAATGTAAACGCATGCTTGTTATAAACCTAAATCAATACTTTGACAAAGGTTGGAGAAAAAAACTTTTTAAAGGGTAGATCTGATGGACCATTTTTTTGTTTTTTTTTTTTTTTTTTCCCCCCCATCATACATCTGTTTGACCTCCTGAAATCTCATATCTCGTTTCCTTCCACAGCCGGAGAGGATAGACCCGAGCGCATCCAGACAAGGGTACGATGTACGCTCAGATGTGTGGAGTCTTGGCATCACATTGGTGAGAAATGATTCTGAATTGTATATGTGTGTGTGTGTGTATATATATATATATATATATATATATATATATATATATATATATATATATATATATATAATAATAATTTTTTTTTTTTTTCAAATAAAACCCATGTATAAAGTGAAATCCTTATACGGTATATGTACTTGGCGGTAGATAGTCTTTGATTGGCAGACACACAAAACCCTCCCTTGGTGGCTCAGGAGTATAAAGAAACGTTCTGAGAGGTGGGGACTATCTTACAAATTTTGGACACCAGTTCCCATCTCCCCATGCAGATACTTTCTTTCCTGGTTCTTCCAGGTAGGCGGGGACATGTAGCTTCTCCATGTGATCGCTCTGGGCCAATAGGCACTGTCACAGGGGGGACTGAATGACATGATCACCACCTATACAGTGCCAACCTGTGGGTTTCTTTCTGTAACAGAACTTTTTATACAGAGACCCAAATGTCCCATCATGATCTCCTGTGCAGTCAGTTCCTCAGGCACTGTTAGTAGGCAATAGGGGGTGATTTGTGTCCTTGGGCCCATAGGGTGCCATTGTTGTTGGCATGTGATGTGTGGTCCTGGGTATGAAGATTCTGACCATGTTCTTCTCCCTCCGCAGTATGAGCTGGCAACCGGGAGGTTCCCGTACCCCAAATGGAATAGTGTGTTCGACCAGTTGACGCAGGTGGTGAAGGGCGATCCTCCGCAGCTGAGCAACTCCGAAGAGCGTGAATTCTCCTCCAGCTTCATCAACTTTGTCAACTTGTGGTGAGCAGTTTCTGTTCTGTGTCAGATCCAGCCAGTGCTCAGTAGGGGCCATAACCAAGTGGTGGGAGATGGTTGCAGCCACTCTTCTAATTAGTTTCACACGCTTTTGGAATTTTAGGCACATTTGTTGGAACCTATCTATTCCTTGAATGGATGGACCACACCATCTCTTGTAGCCCAAAAGTGTTGTCAGGCTCCTCCCCCTTGGATCCCTGTGTGAAGCAGAACTGTTGCAAAAGTTTATGTAGGAGTAGGGCGGAGGTGGATCCTCTGGTTGTCCTATCCAATCAGTAGCTTCTGTGGGAAACTGTTCCCTGTGTCAATGTAACACTCAAGCTGAGGGGCCTCACCTGGAAGGGTAATTCATGATGGGACATGGACTTCAGAGACCTAAACTGTGTCAAAGCCAAATGATGCTTGGAACAAGGAGGAACCACCGCTGGGCTTTAAATAGAGTATGGGTGGTGGGGGGGGGTCCTGGGGGGACTTTCTTATATCAAACCTTTTAATGAACATACAATTCCATTGTTTTATGCAGGCTGTGATATTGGATTGGGTAGATCTAGAAAAGTATGGCGTTCGGCTTTAAGAGATCAATGGACACATGGGCAACCAATCAGAAATTTTTGAAACGTCACTTCTGTGTATTTGCATCTAATCTGTTAAATATGATTGGGTTGGTATTGATTACAATAACATATAAAGCCATTTATAACTCTGCCCTAAATTACATCACCAACCCTGTCTCCAAATATCACCCAAACCGTCCTTTCCGCTCCTCCCACGACCTCCTGCTCTCTAGCCTTGTCTCCTCCTCCTATGCTCATCTCCAGGACTTCTCCAGAGCCTTCCCCATCTTCTGGAACTCTCTACCCCAATTTATCAGACTTTCTCCTACTCTGCTCACTTTTAGGCGATCTCTGAAAACCGATCTCTTCAGGGAAGCCTATCCTGCCCTCAGCTAATAACGGGATCTTCTATTCCTCCTACCAGTCCATCCCCCACAGTTATTACCTTTTTGTACCACTAGCCCCTCCCTCTTAGATTGTAAGCTCCCAGGATCAGGGCCCTCCTTTCCCTCTTGTATTGAACTGTATTGTTGCTGTATTGTCTGTTGGCGCCCTAAGTCCTGCATAATAATAATAATGAAGAGCCTTTTCGCACTGACCTTTGTTCTGACGTGTTGGCTGAGTCTTTGTGTATTTGCTGCCACCTATTGGGAGGCTGAATATTCTGCAGCCTGTGACTTGTGAAAGGAAATCTGACTGCATTGCTACCCCTGCTGGAGTATTGTAGTTAGTGAATTTTTTTTTTATTGCTGCATGAATTGTAGTTGTAAAGATTTAAGTTTTTTTTTTTTTTCTTTTTTTTTTACCTTCGCATTCTATGCATGAAGGTTAAAAACCTTCCGTGTTCTGCCCCCTCTCCCCCATAATACTCACTCACCTGAGCCCCCTCTTGACCCAGTGCTGTGCATGGGAGCCTCAGCTGTCCTGGGTCGGTCTGTCTCCTCATTGGCTGCAACACAGCAGCGGGAGCCATTGGCTCCCACTGCTTTCAATCACAGCCAGTGAGCCAATGAGGAGAGAGAAGAGGGAGTGGCCAAGCTGCGGCTCTGTCTTATATAATAATAATTATTCAGGATTTATATAGCGCCAACAGTTTGCTCAGCGCTTTACAATATACCGGGAGACAATACAGTAACAATACAGTTCAATACAAGAGGGTTAGAAGGGCCCTGATCCTGGGAGCTTACAATCTAGGAGGGAGGGGCTAGTGGTACAAAAGGTAGTAACTGTGGGGGATGGACTGGTAGGAAGAGTAGAAGATTCCAGTATTCGCTGAGGGCAGGATAGGCTTCCCTGAAGAGAGAGGTTTTCAGAGATCTCCTAAAAGTGAGCAGAGTAGGCGATAGTCTGATAAATTGGGGTAGAGAGTTCCAGAGGATGGGGGAAGCTCTGGAGACTTGCATGGGAGGAGGAGACAAGGGAGGTAGAGTACGGTTTGGGTGATATTTAGAGACAAGATTGGTGATGTAATTTTGGGGCAGAGTTATAAATGGCTTTATATGTTGTTAATGTTTTGAATTTTATCCGTTGGGCAACGGGAAGCCAGTGGAGGGATTGGCAGAGAGGGATGGAGGACACTGAGTGGAGGCCAGTGGAGGGATTGGCAGAGAGGGGTGGAGGACACTGAATGGAAGCCAGTGGAGGGATTGGCAGAGAGGGGTGGAGGACACTGAATGGAAGCCAGTGGAGGGATTGGCAGAGAGGGGTGGAGGACACTGAATGGAAGCCAGTGGAGGGATTGGCAGAGAGGGATGGAGGACACTGAATGGAAGCCAGTGGAGGGATTGGCAGAGAGGAGTGGAGGACACTGAATGGAAGCCAGTGGAGGGATTGGCAGAGAGGGATGGAGGACATTGAATGGAAGCCAGTGGAGGGATTGGCAGAGAGGGGTGGATGACACTGAATGGAGGCCAGGGGAGGGATTGGCAGATATGGAACGGTTAGTAAGGTGGATGATTCTGGCAGCAGCATTCATGATAGACTGAAGAGGGGATAGCCTGTGATGAGGTAGGCCAATGAGGAGGGAGTTACAATAGTCAAGACGCATAGAGAGAGGCTTGGGAGCAAGCACACGCCAGTGCCCCCATAGCAAGTGGCTTGCTATTGGAGGCATAGGGGGAGGAGCCAGAAAAGCCAGCGGGTGACCCAAAGATTGGAGCTGCTCTGTGCAAAACACAGAGCAGGTAAGTATGACTTTGTGGTGGCAGCATTCACATAGTAGGTCACTGTGGAGCCCCTTCGTAGTCGCCGCAATGTGCGTGTTCCACCTCCTGGGAGTACATGTCAGTGAGATGTGTTGTCTCGCTGCGTGTGAGGCAGCACTGCACATGCATCGTAACCAAAGCATCATGGGACATGTAGTCCTGCCAAAGGATGCAGAGGAGAGAGGATGTGCATGCTTCCTGAATGGAAGGTAGGGAAGTGTTGCACCTTTAAGAACAAAGGGAAAACTAATATCAGCTTTGTTTTTTTTTTGTTAAATAATAATAGTGAAACAAAAATGTAGCCTGGTGTCCAGGTCCACACAACGGCCGCTGAACTGACCTTTCTGATATACTGGGAGGATTGTAGTGGTTCTCACATTTTTTCTTTTCTCTTTCCTTGCAGCCTTACAAAGGACGAATCTAAGAGGCCAAAGTACAGAGAGCTTCTGGTAAGTGTGTGCTTCCTCAGCTCTGCTATGTGGATTGTGTACAGAGCGATTATCCCGGCCAATCAGATTTCCATTTCAGGTGGATTCGTTGCGATAAGCGATCTGCAGTGTTGTGTCGGATGCCTCAGTAAATGTCTCAGACTGGCAGTTATTTTTCTTACTGCTGTTAGGCTGATATCCTTATGCAGGCCATACATGGATCGAATTCCGAACAATTTTTCGTCCGAAAATTGAAAACGTCATTCGCTCGGTAATCCGATGGTGCCATCAATGATTTTGAAATTCGGCCGACCAAGTCATAAAGTTCACGCCATATAACCAGCAAAACTTCTGTTCCTTCCAGGTCACGGCTCATGCGCATATTCTTTTCGGAATAACGATCGTACAATTTGACCATCATTGAGTCGAAAATCGGTTGTTTTTCAAGAATTTTCCAACATGCTCGATCACCGAAAAGGGGAGGAGCCACAAAAATCGGCCGGTGTCGTTGACCCACTAACAGAGTGAAAATCAGCCGATTGTTCTTGGGTCCGATTTTCGGACAATAAATCAGTCGAATTTCGACCCATGTATGGCTGGCCTTACTCTGATTCTGTAAATTGCTGACCAAAAAAACATGGTGACAGCATCGGACTGTCCTGACCTGTGTACTTTTTACAGGAAATCGTAAACCTGTGGCAGCCAGACAAAGCAGGCATGGACATGGTTATGTATAGCATTCACTTTCCTATGAGCATTCGCAGAGTTCTTGGTATTAGTCCTTGCCCCTATACTGCCAGGATCTGAAATTTTTGAAATGTACTTTTATGGTTCTTAAAATGAACCCCATAGGACATAGAATTTGTGAGGTGTGTGTCATGTTTTTTTTTTTTTTCTGCACAGTTCTGATGTACAGTCCACATCAACATGCTAATGAGATGTTTAAATATTTCCATTAAATACCTTATTTCAGACCCAATACTGTCCTCTCTCTTGGGTCTCTGTGCTCCTATGTGCAATGCAGGCAGATCATGGCTGGTGGGAGTGGTTGGCAGGGTGCTATTCATAGCTTCCTGAAAACGTCATTGCAACCTGCTCTGGACACCTCTCAAGAGTCCTTAGCCCTGATGTAAGCAGGTGGCTGGCTCTTCGTTCTGAAAATGCCAAAATGCCTTGATGGGTGGTTTTCAGTCTGTAGGATTGGGCATTCCAAGGCAGGCTGTATTTGCATGCAGGCTACTCAAGGTAACGTCCACCGGTGATGCTAAGCCTCCATGTTTGAGAGGACAGTGATTGAAATAATTGAAAGCCAATAAACAGAAGGAAATAGTTAACTGCTAGATGATGCTGGACGTCCTCCAGCCAGAAAATGGGGTGGAGCTCTACTTGACTTGCTGCAGCTTCTAAGGAACGTTGAGAAGCTCACACTGTGCAGTGGGGTCACAGCACATTTCACATTTGAGTCCTGCTTGGGTTGGTTCCCTTACAGACTTATAGCTAATCCATAATCTAGCAGTGGGATCCTGGTGGCACTCTGGTGGTGGGATCCTGGGAAGGGTGGAGGCTCTGATGGTGGGAACCCCAGAGGGAGTGGAGGCTCTGGTGGTGGGGATCCTTGGGAAGGGGTGGCGGCTCTGGTGGTGGGGATCCTGGGGAAGGGGTGGCGGCTCTGGTGGCGGGGATCCTGGGGAAGGGGTGGCGGCTCTGGTGGCGGGGATCCTGGGGAAGGGGTGGCGGCTCTGGTGGCGGGGATCCTGGGGAAGGGGTGACGGCTCTGGTGGTGGGGATCCTGGGGAAGGGGTGGCGGCTCTGGTGGTGGTGGGGATCCTGGGGGGATGGGGATATGGGGGGGAACTCTGGTGGTGGTGGGGATCCTGGGGGCACTCTGGTGGTGGGGGATCCTGGGGACTCTGGGGTGCTGGGGGGGGGTGCAAGCTCGTGAGGATCCTGGGAAAGGGGTGGGTATTCTGGAAAGGGGTGCTGGCTCTTGTGGTGGGGTTCCTGGGGAAGGGGTGGCGGCTCTTGTGGTGGGGTTCCTGGGGAAGGGGTGGCGGCTCTGGTGGGATCCTGGGGAAGGGGTGACGGCTCTGGTGGTGGGGATCCTGGGGAAGGGGTGGTGGTGGGGATCCTGGGGGCACTCTGGTGGTGGTGGGGATCCTGGGGGCACTCTGGTGCTGGGGGGATCCTGGAAAGGGGTGCAAGCTCTGGTCATGGGGATCCTGGAAAGGGGGGGGTATTCTGGAAAGGGGTGCTGGCTCTTGTGGTGGGGATCCTGGGGAAGGAGTGGCTTTTTATAGGGCAGATCTTACCATTGGAGTCCCAAAGAAAAATAGGATGTATGTGACTAAAATGAACAGTAGTCACTGACAACTGACATTTCTCCACCCAAAGCAGATATTTCAAAGTTTTTAAAAGGTTAATTTATCCACATTGTAAATACAGTGGATATAAAAAGTCTACACACCCCTGTTAAAATGTCAGTTTTCTGTAATGTAAAAAAATGAGACAAAGAAAATAATTTCAGAACTTTTTCCACCTTTTTAATGTGACGTATAAACTGTGCAACTCGATTGAAAAACAAGCTGAAATCTTTTAGGGCGGGGGAAGCAAATATAAAAAAAATAAAATAATGTGGTTGCATAAGTGTGCACACCCTCTTATAACTGGGGATATAGCTGTGTTCATAATCAAGCAATCCCATTCAAAATAATGTTAAGTAGCAGTCAGTACACACCTGCCATCATTTTAAAGTGCTTCTGATTAACCCCAAATAAAGTTCAGCTGTTCTAGTAGGTATTTCCTGACAATTTTTTTAGTCGCATCCTACAGCAAAAGCCATGGTTTGCAGAGAGCTTCCAAAGCATCAGAGAGATCTCATTTATTAAAAGGTATCAGTCAGGAGAAGGGTACAAAGAATTTCCAAGGCATTAGATATACCATGGAACACAGTGAAGACAGTCATCATCAAGTGGAGAAAATATGACGCAACAGAGACATCACCAAGAACTGGATGTCCCTTAAAATGAATGAAAAGACGAGAAAAAAACTGGTCTGGGAGGCGGCCAAGAGGCCTATAGTATTATTAAGGAGCTGCAGGAATATCTGGCAAGTACTGGCTGTGTGGTACAAAAATCTCCCGTATTCTTCATATGTCTGGGCTATGGGGTAGAATGGTAAGACAGAAGCTTTTTCTTACAAAGAAAAGCATCCAAGCCGTGCGAAATTTTGCAAAAACACTTCTGAAGTCTCCCAAAAACATGCGGGAAAATGTGTTCTAGTCTGAGGAAACCAAGGTTGAACTTTTTGGCCATAATTCCAAAAAGATATATATGTTTGGCGCAAGAACAATACTACACATCACCAAAAGAACACCATACCCACCGTGAAGCATAGTGGTGGCAGCATAATGCTTTGGGGCTGTTTTTCTTCAGCTGGAACTGGGGCCTTAGTCAAGGTAGAGGAAATTATGAACCGTTCCAAATACCAGTCCATATTGGTGCAATACCTTCAGGCCTCAGAAAGCAGAACATGAAGAGGAACTTCATCTTTTCGCATGACAACGACCCAAAGCATACATCCAAATCAACAAAGCAATGGCTAAACCAGAAGAAGATGAAAGTTTTTTGGAATGGCCCAGCAAGAGCCCAGACCTGAATCCGATGGAAAATCTGTGGGGTGATCTGAAGAGGGCTGTGCACAGGAGATGACCTCGCAATCTGACAGATTTGGAGTGTTTTTGCGAGGAAGAGCGGGGAAATATTGCCAAGTCAGGATGTGCCGTGCTGATAGACTCCTCCCCAAAAAGACTGAGTGCTGGAATCACATCAAAAGGGGCTTCAACAAAGGATTAGTTTAAGGGTCTGCACACTTATGCAACCATTTTATTTTAGTTTTTTTATTTTTTCTTCCCTCCACCTAAAAAAAAATTTCAGTTTTTTGTTCAAGTTGTACAGTTTGTAGGTTACATTAAAGGTGTGTAGACTTTTCATATCCACTGTATGTAATTTCGATATGGGTTTAATCCAGAGATGACTTTTTAACCCTTTTTGTTTTTGTTCTTGCAGAAACACCCTTTCATCATGATGTACGAAGAGCGACACGTAGATGTTGCCGGATATGTCAGTAAAATCCTGGATCAAATGCCAGCCACCCCCAGCTCCCCGATGTACGTCGATTGACCCCGCCTCCACCCAAAACTCTAGCAAATGGCAACGTAAACGGAAGGGCTGGGGGGGCAAACCAGACGGAGTGAGACGCCACAGCACGAACCCGACGTGACTTTACCTCTCCGGCTCCAGTGCTACGTGCAATAAGATCAGTGTTTTTGTTTCCTATCTTTCCATTGTGTCTGTACGCTAAAGTCATATGTAAAAAAAAAAAAAAGAAAAAAAAAAAAAAAAAACGCATCCCTTTAAAACCGCCAGTCACTCGGTGCTCGGCTGGCGGACAGGCGAATGCCCGCGTTCCGTGCTAACCCGCTCAATGGAACTCAAGTGAGACTGGAATAAACCGATATCTCTGCTATGACCTCTTCCACCTGAAACCAACGTAAAATGGACGCCGACCGCCCCCAGAGGAGCGAGACCAGGCATCGTACGACCTAACCCCCCCTGCTCTGCGGAGGCGGGAAGAGGCGAAAAAGAATATGAATTATATAAAAATATATATATTTTTATTATTTTTTAAATAAAAAAAACAAAAAAAATTCTTCACAAAGTGCAATAGGTTAACCAATTCTTTGTCAGGTGGTCCTGCCACGAATCAGGACTTTTATTATTTTTATTTTTTTTTGCCCTTCTGGCAGAGAATGGGGTTAATAAATATGAAATTTCTGTTCCACTATAGTTTTATTTTATGTTCTCAGAGTGTCAGTTGACTTTATTTTACTTTTTTGTTTTGTTTTTTTTTTTTTGTTTTATTTTCTAAGAATCAAAACTATAGTAAATATCTCTACCAAAAAAAACCACAAAAATTATGTTGCATTGAAAAAAAAAATCTAACATTAAAATATTAAGAGATGGAGTATAACTTTGGTTGGAATTATTGTTTTTTTGGGGGACATTTTACATGCCAATATAAGGGCAACTTTGTGGATACCTGAGCATCACACCTATTTGAGCTTACTGGACATCCCATTCAAAAACCATGATTATTATATTGGAGTTGCTCCCTGTCCCCTTTGTGTCTATAAAAGGTTTTACTCTTCTATGAAGGCTCTCCACCAGCTTTCAGAGGATGTTTGGGGCAATGTGTGCCCATTTGTGAGGTCAGGTACTGATATTTGTTGAGAAGATCCAGCATCACCACTGACATTCCAATTCCTTCCAGAGATGTTCAGTAGGGTTGAAGTCAGGGACTGATGTTGGATGAGAAAACCTGGTTAACCACCAACCTTCCAATTCTTCCCAAAGGTGTTCAGTGAGGTTGAGCTCAGGGCTTTGCAGGACACTTTAGTTCCTCCACACCAAACTGGTCACACCATGTCTTCATGCCCCTGTACGCAGAGCCAGCTGCATTATCCTGCAGCAACAGAAAAAGGCCTTCACCAAGCTTTTAAACCCAAGGTTGGAAGTGTACAATTGTCTAACGTCTTTTTGCTGTAGTTTCTCTTACGTTCATTGGTGGACACAGCACTTCTGATTCTTCAACATGGGCTTTCTTATTGACTTGTTTGGGAGCTTGCTGGGAAAGTGCATAGGCGGCCAAATTAAGGTCCTATGGTTAAGAATCAGAAAAGCTGTGTCCTTCAATGAACTAGATTTTTCGGTGAGTAACACAAATCTTGTTAATAAAAATATCCCTCTCTAAATGCACTCATTTCGAGGGGCCTCCATATACATTTGTTCATATAGGAAGTGTGATTTGTCTGGTAGTCAAATTAAATTTTTTTTTTTTTTTTTTCTTTTCTTTGGTAAGTGAGGATCTGTTTCAAATGTGAATTTAGAATGTGAAGATTGAGAGAAAGGGGAGTTGTGTTCACAAGTCTGCAGTGAAAATGGAAAATTTCCCTTTTGGCTGTCCCGATGGAAGTGCTAGGCTGATACATGTTGATGACAAATCTGGCGTGATCGGTCTTTGCTCCATTGTTAATTTCCTTTTCAACTGAATTAAGTGGTTCCTTCCTAAGATGTCAGAGATGCATTATTACACATTTTATGAAAACCGGTTAAAACACTCCGTCTGTTTTCAAAGTGCAGTTTTTGTAGGGACAGTGATTGGTTTCCTTCAATAAGGCATCACAACCTCCACATAGGAAGGCTTTGTAGCACCAATGATCAGTTATCTGCCCATGTCAATATGGTCAGCAACCTTTGTCCTGTTACTAGATTTTCAGGTGTCTCTTTCCTTCTTAAAACCTTTTCTGATCATTAAGCCTAGATGGCCAAAACGTGTTTGTATTGTAAAATGGTTTTTAATAAATACCCAGATTTTTTTTTTTCTTCTGGACATTGTCAAAAAAAAAAACTCTAGACCACCCCCCCCCCAGGATATTCCCTCCTCCTACCAGCATATTTTTTAATTTATTTTAATGCTGCTACAAGTTTTCCCTCTGATTGGCAGCTGCCTGACTTTTGGACCACATCACATCCCTGCTGTGCTCTACTGGACATTGCGGGGCTAGCCTGAAACGAACTTCAAGCACTGAGTTCCACGTGGGATGCGTTCCACACTCTGGGTAAGAGGTAGTTGTGGAGCACTTTCCAGGTCGAGAGCTGCTGGTCCAGGCATGCTTTCCAGGTCCAGAACCGCAGAATCAATTTTGCGTTTACCCTTTTTTTGAAGAGCCACTTGGTGAGTAGGCTGGTTGGGTTTAGTAGCGGGCGTTCCCTCATTTATGCTGGCTGCCAGTACTCCCTTTTTTCAGTTGGCTCTGCTGTAGAAGAATTTAGGGCTATGGGGAACAAGAGCTGCTGTCATCTACTGAACCAGGGAACATCTCCCTGCTGTTGCTCCTATTGCACAGAGCTAAAGTGGCTTTGGTCACCTCTGGTCATCCAAAACCCTGCCGGCTACCAGCTGACTGGGTTTTGTGAGTAGTTTTAGTCTCGTCCCTTACGATGAGCTGGTTTGTTGCCTATCTGCTTTGTAGAGCTCCCAGCTCTTGTAATAGGTCATGAACTGCTAAAGCACGTCCATTGAAGTTTCTGATGTGGGGTTGTGTTGTGTTCTGCTCTCAATATGTCTCGCCATCATAGTCCTCTTTGGCTCTGTCAGGTATAGCTGGGTCCTCTGTCATCGCAGCCATTCTTGAGGTTTTATTTCAACCCATTGACTGAAGTCCAAGATTAAGCAAATGCCCAGTTAGGTTTTGGAACAGAGTCTTCACTTCAGGCCCACAAATTCCGTATGGAGTCTGGCAGATCTTTCCATTGACCCCCTTCAGGGATAATTTCTGACTTTTGCGGATATCAAATATTCTTACATGTCCCCATATTTCCATCATACCAGTGCTTTCTGAGGTATACTGTAGGATAACTGCACTACCAGTTTGTGGCCCTGTCGTCCGCACCTCAGGTGTTCAACAGGATGTTAGCTCCAGTCTTGTCCCTGTTGTGCCCTTGTGGAATCCTCATTGTGGGATGCTTCTGCTGAGAGAACAGTCATCAAGGTATCTGAAACATATCTGACTGTGCAGACAGTACAGCTTCTCAGGTGCAGTTGAACTTTCAGAAATCATTACTTGAACCACCTCATCGCTTGAAGTATGGGGGTCTTCTCTAAGTGATGCTAAAGACCAGGCTATCCCTGTCTTGCTGCCTCAGGAATCTGGCTCTGGATTCAGAAGCTCTCTCTTGAGGCATCTCCTCTTCCATTGAACATCTGGGAACTTTGGGCAATTTGTCTGTCTGACTCTTCAGCACTGGGTCAACCTTTTGGAGGGCCAGCCAATGTGGATTCAATCAGACAATCTCATGGTGGTATCAGCCATCAGGGAAGAACTTAAAATCTCGCTGCAGTAAGAGTAAGAAGATCCTGTGAACTTTGTTACAGCCTTGCAGTCATGTACATTCCAGATATGGACAACTTTGAGGTGTTCCAGGACTATGTCACAGGTGGCAGATGTGGACTCCAGGTTCAGTATCAAACTGCAAAGGTTTGTATCCAGCTGCAGGGATCCTCTGGTGAATGTAATGGAATTCAATTATTTGAACTATGGGGTCCTTTTGGAGGATTCAATGGATGTTCTGGTGGTTCTATGGGATCTATAAACCCCGATCTTTGCTTTTTCCTCCCCTTAAACGTCTTCACGATCTGGTGATGCTCATTGATCCATATTGGTGAAGGCAGATGTGGTATTCTGACCTGGCAAGACTCCTAGCAGTCCAATCAAGGGCCCTGTAAGACCTTCAGGTCCAAGGGCTCATTTTACATCCTTCTAGGTTGTTAGCTTTAACAGCGTGGCCATTAAAGCCCAGGTTTTGAGACCGGCATCTTGAAGTCTGTCATTCTGATGATGCTTATAATTCCAGGAAGTTTCCATCAAGGTTTTTAATTGGATATAGAAGGCTTACTTCACTTAATGTGATTCTAGGGACTTTAACCCCAGAAGCTAAAATGGGGGAAAATTCTGACGGCAGTTCTGAGACCAGCATGTGGCTTGCAGAACTATGTAGGGTTCAGACTTTGCTCTTTTTATTCTCTTTTAGAGACTGTTGGCATTCTACTCTTTAAGACCTTTGTGCAGGGAATCTCACATTTGGCTCCATTTTGTTTGCAAAGGTTCCTTCAGAATTTCTAGTACACACTGCTATATACCCTAGTAGCTCCCCCCACTTTGTCCGTTTTTCCATATATTGGCATTGTGTCCACAGTAGCATTTTGCTTAGGCAGAGCGGAGTAGGACTGGCCATAGAGGGATTACTCCAGTTGCCCAGATTAAACATGTATTGCAATATGTGTGAACTAAATATCCCTATTTTGTATTGCAAAGCTTTCTGGAAAGGGTATATAGCAGTGTGCAGAGGGTTCCTTCCGAATTTCTAGTGGTTTAATATGTGGCTTCACCCCTTTAGCACCTGATGGATAAATGCATGTACAAGCTATTGGGATTGGAGCACAAGTATGTCTTGTTTGTTCCATTTTGTTTGTTTCGTCTAACTCTGTGGAGTCTGAATCTGGTTCTTTGTTCACTTCAGAGTCCATAAGAGACTTTCCCCTCTACTCTCACCCATAAGGT